TGGGAGTAGCGGCTGCTGGCTTCTCTGGCCTCGCGACCTGGCCGAGTGGGGGCAGCCAGCGTGCCGCAGAGCAGGGGGCGAGGTCTCCGCAGCAGGCTGTCGGGGTGAGGCCATCCAAGGCAGCCAGGAAGAGGCCCATGAAAGGGGTGGCCGGCTCCCAGCTCGTGGGCAGCAGCAGCCGGAGGAGCTTCCCCAGGGCGCGGCCCCGCCCGCCCTGCCCGCCCGTCACCTGGGCTGACTCGCGCCTGGGCTTTGCTCTTGGGAAGACACCTGAGGTTTTACACCTGTCGACAGCTTCCGCTCAGAAGAGCCCAGCCCAGCTTCCACACTGTTGGTCCAGAGGGGCAAAGCGATTTGCCCGCGGCCCCGCCCCTTCCTGCGTCTCCTGCAAGCCGAGGGCTCCATCCAGTGCCTCCTGCAGTGCGCTGGGGCCTGGGAGGCTGGCCCCCTCCAGGCGGGCTCTGGGGCGGCTGGCGGGGCTGGGCGCGGCCTCACTCGCGGGTGTCCGGCCTCACTTGAGGCTGTGCTGGCTCTCACGGTGCCGCCGCAGGTCCACCTTGCGCTGGAAGCCCTTGGTGCACAGCTCGCAGCTGAAGGGCTTGAAGCCCGTGTGCTTCCGGCTGTGGGTGATGAGGTTGGAGCTCTGGCTGAAGGCCTTCCCGCACACCTGGCACTTGTGCGGCTTCTCACCTGCGGGGCGCAAGGTGCGTCAGGGCTGCCCGGGCCGCCGCCCCAGGGCGCTGCGTCTGCCGCCCCGCATTTCTGTTCCGTGTCACGGCCAGCCCGCCGCCCCGCAGCGTGCCGTGGGAACGGGGGCGCAGACGGGTGCGGACCCGTTTCGGGCAGGGCTGGCCGCGTCCCCTCGATCCACCTGGTGCCACGCCTGGCACAGGGCCCGACGCAAGAGAGGCGCTTGCTGGCCACCGAGGGATGGACGGAGGGGTGACGGCGCTAGCGGGGTGGATGCGCCCAGGGGAGAGGAAGCGGGGAGCAGTGCACGCACCCCAAGTCACCGCGAACTGCGCTCCTGCCCC